TACGGAATGAAAACTCCAAGAACTCGTTGTGAAGGTACGGACGGAAAGTAAGAAGAATGGAGTAAATATCATTTTTTTTTTATTATAGAATTACAAAATGAAAAATCACTCCACATTGCTTACCTTTCAAATTTGTGATGAAGCTAAGTAAATAGCGAAACATTAAATTCATGATGATATTTTAATGCCCCGTTATTTCATCATTCTTTATTAAATCCATATTTTCAACTCATATATATATATATATATATATATATATATATATATATATATATATATATATATATATATATATATATATATATATATATATCTGTGTGTGTGCATGTGTGACTTTCAATAGATAAAGTTGCTAAAATTCTAACAGAAATGTATATGATTTTATGCTGTAAATAAATTTACAATAGAACTGCATTGAAAAGCAGGAGGGGATTGTAAGTAACCTGAAATAAACCTTTGTTGGCAGAAAGCGACTATTATTTCTGTAGTATGGGCGTGTGTGCCTTTTGTTTAATCTGCTAAATTTTATTATCTATCGACAGTGGCAATTTTCCTTTGACTTAGTTTTTGGCAATGATATCCAAAACTTTAGCTTTACCTCGACCAACGTTTGCCTGTTTTTTAGTCTTAGATTATTGAAGATAAAAGTCGTTTTGGCTGAAAAGAAAATATGTTTGAAAACATTCTCAACCCCCGCGCTTCACGCTCTCCAGGGCAATTTTGTCAAGTTTGGATAAGCCTGTCGTGGGAAACTATGTATCTGGATCATGCTTTGTTCCTTATTAGGTCTCAGTAAAATTTCCAAGCGCCTCACATTGGGAAAACTTAAGACAAAATACACAGTAGAAAATCCTTTCTGTTCCTTTTATAAAAAACGCTGGTAACATTTGCACACATCATGTATAATGCTTCTCTCTATTACTGTATCTTTCTTTCTTTCTTTCTTTCTTTCTTTCTGTCTCTTTCTCTATATATTTATACATAGAAATTCACGTAAGGAACACGTAACCACCCACTACCGCCCACCAAAACACTGAACAACATAGGCGGTTGCTGTCTTTATCAGATGCTTTTAAAACATATATTACTCCATCTCTCTGTACCGCTTTTCTTTTTAGCGTAATAAGGAGGTACTATGTGAAAATCAATCTCCAGTCGCAAGGTTACAAAATATTTGTTTTGTCCACAAACATGGGTAAAGAAGCTGTTGGTCTGGAAAAACGCGGCTACAAGTATAGAATGAAACTGCTCTAAAGAATAGTACTTTTTCGAAAAAAGAAATATGATCTGGTTTAACACACCATACAACTACAACGTAAAAACAAATGTAGGAAAAATGTTTCTTAAACTTATTCACAAACTCTTGCCCCCATCAATTTCACTTCACAAGATATTCAATAAAAACCAACTACAGGAAGAATCAGCTACAGTTGCAACGAGAACATGAAACAAATAAAAAAATGCACAACAGAAATGTAACTAACAAATCCCCCACATAAACCAAACTTACCTGTAACTACAGAATAAAGAAATTTGCCTGAAAGTCAATATAATATGAAAGGTAACTTTAAAAACAATAGATAATGGAAAATAAATATATATATGAGTAACTGAAGGACCATGAAAACAGGGAAACTACGTACACAAACATTCTCATACGGGGGCAGCACAATGCTTTCGAGACATATGTGTGAAATTAAAAACAAAAATACACCAAATATTCATGTAAAATAAGGAAAACAGCACCAGCCGATAACAATAAATCCAAAAACTGTAAACTTTGTCTGGAGAAAAAAATAGCGATGGTTACCTTCCTAGACCAACACAAATTACGAAGTAAACGAGCAGAATTTATCTTAAAACGCAGAAGCTAAAACAATTTTTACTATGTTACTTGAAAATCGAAAACTTGAAACGAATACTTTGTAAAATATCACCAAGAAAAATGTAAATATATGCACACAGTGTACAACGGAGATAATGTAATATACTTTAGACAAAGCTAATACTCTAAACAAAAAAAGATTAAAAAAATAAGCTAACCGAACCTAAAAGAAAAAATAAATGAATAGACAAATTTAATAAATAAATAATAAGCAAATTAACAAAAGGTAGAAATACACAAATAACCGAAGTTAAGTAAATTTAATACTAAAAATCATCAACAGCAAATAAAGCATAAATACAAAATACCTAAAGTTATCAATGATAAATAAGTTAAAAGTTAACAACAACTCGATACAACAGCTAAAACTAAGCGGATTCTGGTACACAATTTGTTCTACTCAACAGCCTATCTATTAATTTAAAATATAACCGCTCCTACCTGTCAAATAGCCGTTAGGATAACACAATAAAGCGGAAATATCTAAACTTGAAAACCATAAGGCCCCATTGAAAAGCATAAATAAGTAGTCAAGCTACGATGCAACACACATTGCCTGAATATTTGATTCAAACATGAAACAGAATGTCGGAAAACGGTGTTGATTCCGTGTCCACTCTACACACACACACACACACACACACACACACACACACACACACACACACACACACACACACACATATATATATATATATATATATATGTATGTATGTATGTATATATATATATAGAGAGAGAGAGACAGAGATGGGTGAGGGAGAGAGAAACACTAATAATATTTATACTTTTTTTCTTTCCGTTTGTGCATCTCTGAATTTTATGCACGATGCAATCGTCAGGTACAGATTGATAACTGACTGTCTGTTGTAAAATTTAAATATAAATATCTATAACCTACTGGAATACTCCATTTATTTATGGGCTATAATTAAATAAATAAAATGGTATATATATATATATATATATATATATATATATATATATATATATATATATCATAAATTAATTGATTTAAAATATGTTTTTTTTCGCTACACAGTTCTAACCATGTTTCAAAAATGGAAGCTAAAAGCCCCGAATTTAATTTTGTGATTAAATTAAAGACATTAGTTCCATTTCATCCTCAAGTGAATTTTGGAGTAACTTTTTAAAATTACTGGGTTTTAAATACACAGCTAAAAACAAAATTCATGTTTCCAAGGTTACAGATAAATCTATTTTTATAGACAGGGGTGTCTGGGTTTTCAATATGTCTATAATTTAATGTATCCGTTATTGCTACGTTTGGGTCGTGGGAAGGGATGTTTTTTTTTTCAATGAAATCTAACTTCCGTTAAAGCCTGTCGTCTAGATTTTTTTTTAAAATTATATTGTTAACGGCTAAAAAACGAAAAAACCATATTTTAAATCAATTAATTTATAATATTAATGCTCTGTAAATTTACATTGAGCACTATTTTGTAAAAATAAAAATATCTATAAGAACACCGGATTATATATCTTGCTGTTCTTTCTTTTTATTTATATACATACATATATATATATATATATATATATATATATATATATATATATATATATATATATATATATATATATACATCGTAATATAAATATATAGCCATGCAACAATTAAAAGAAAATACACAAATATATACACATCCAAGCTCAATATAAGTTAAATACAAATATATATACCTTATAGATATTTTCAGGCATAATGATCGTGTATGCACAAATGTCATTAACACATCGACATATATAAATATATATAAGAGAGAGAGAGAGAGAGAGAGAGAGAGAGAGAGAGAGAGAGATGTTATAAACATGGCGATGATGAAGTTTAGATCAATACACGAGATAGAGCGTTTATATGGATAGTGGACATAGAATTCAACACTGCAAGTCAGTTTCAAGCCACAAGCGATCTTAGATATAGTCCGAGGATCATTTGATTCCCGTGTTTACACGGTGTCCCATCTCTCTCTCTCTTTATATATATATATATATATATATATATATATATATATATATATATATATATATATATCTTATTATAGTTTATTCAAATAAGAATATGATCCAAAACGCTTTTTGCATTTGTCAAAAATTGAGAAATCTGTAAGAAATTGGAAGAAAGTGATAATTTATAAAAAGAAATCTATTACTGCAATACACTAAGGTATCTGACTACATAAAAGAGCAAGCTAATACTTCGCTAACCAGAAGATAATTAAGCTAATTATGTATTTAATGTGCCGACGTTTCGCTTCTGCTTTTGGAAGCTGGTAAAATTAATTTTTATATAGCAAGTTAGATAGAACGCACAGATTCTACGCTTATCCGCGGCAGAGGAAAATTTGAAGGCAGAGCCTACAGATTCTGTACTTATCCGCGGCAAAGGCACTTTAGATTATTGGCAGAGCATACAGATTCTGCAATTATACGCAGTAAAGACAATTTGATTATAGACAAAGACCCTGATTCTTAAGAAAAGTGTAGACCAACGCAAATACTTCCGTCTTATTAATGGGCATTATGCATATTTATTTATTTATTTATTTCTAAGCATACAGATAAATGTTTTTAAAAAACATACAATGTCCACTCAAGACATAAGCTTAAATGGCTCACCAAATATATATTTTATTATTATTCTCGAACTGACATGGCTGTCTGAGAAAGATAGTAAAGTGGTTTCCCGTTGCTTTATTCAAGGATAGGGATTCAGATTTTCTTTTTCTTATACTGCTTGCTACTCAAGGCTAGCGCGCAATGTCTACTCTGATACTTAATACATCACCGGCGTTATGTGTTTGTCGGGGTTGGGAGAAAAAGGAGAACGAATCATGTCTTTCCCGATTTATGTGAGAGTTAATGACGCGTTATTTTGTGCCGAGCATAAAAAAATGATATATTAAGAAACTGGAATAGGTATATATATATATATATATATATATATATATATATATATATATATATATATATATATATATATTTATCGATTTAGATAGATATGAAGAAAGTGAGATATATAGAGATAGATATGAAGAAGCTAAAATCGACCGATCAGTTTCTAGATACGAAGAAATTGAAATAGATAGATATGAACAAATGAGATAGATAGATAGATAGATAGATAGATAGATAGATATGAACAGATGAGATAGATATGAACAGATGAGATAGATAGATATGAACAGATGAGATAGATAAATATGAACCGATGATTTAGATAGATAAATATGAAAGGATGTGATAGATATGAACATATGAGATAGATATGAACAGATAAGATAGATAGATATGAACAGATGAGATAGATAAATATATAGATAGATAGATATGGACAGATGAGATAGATATGAACAGATGAAATAGATATAGACAAATGAAATAGATATGAACAGATGAGATAGATATGAATAGATGAGATAGATAGATAGACAGATAGATGGATATGAACAGATAAGATAGATATGAATAAATGAGATAGATATGAACAGATGAGATAGATAGATATGAACAGATGAGATAGATATGAATAGATAGATAGATATATAGATATGAACAGATGGGATAGATAGATAGATAGATAGATAGATAGATAGATAGATAGATAGATAGATAGATAGATATGAACAGATGGGATAGATAGATAGATAGATAGATAGATAGATAGATAGATAGATAGATAGATAGATATGAACAGATGGGATAGATAGATATATAGATAGATACATATGAATAGATGAGATAGATATGAACAGATGAAATAGATATGAACAAATGAAATAGATAGATATGAACAGAAGAGATAGATAGATATGAACAGATAAAATAGATATGAACAGATGAGATAGATAGATAGATAGATAGATAGATAGATAGATAGATAGATAGATAGATAGATAGATAGATATGAGCAGATGAGGTAGATATGAACAGATGAGATAGATAGATAGATAGATAGATAGATAGATAGATAGATAGATAGATAGATATGAAAAGGGCGTGATAGGTGTTAGGAAAGAAAGAAAAAAGTGATAGTTAGATAGAGTGAAAAACCTGGGTTAGTTTTTAGGAAATTGAAAAATGAATACAAATTCGATATTGAATGAAAGAATGGTCTCTAATAAATAGCGAGAGTGAAAATAATGTCATTGCTTTATTTACTCAATGATTTATTCCATACAATCCTGGACAAGGAATTCACGAGATAATTGAGGGCTGGGTCACAAGGTCCGTTGTTGAAAGTTCAAGAAGGAACATCTTTAGCGGATTTTTTACATCTCCTTCTCGTTTCTTATCACGTCAAATGGTTTCACACATTCATCCGGCAAGACCTCCGCTGATTTTTATCTCTCAATGGAATGTTGTTAGTGGCTTTTGCTTTTACGACTCTTGCTGGGGTTGGTATTAACCAGTCCTATTACATATATATGTTAAAACATTTTGCCATTAAACACACACACACACAAACGTGTGTGTGTGTGTGTATTAACTGTAAAACCGCCAATGCTCGGGGATTGAATGAAACATTGCCAGAGAAAGGAAGAAGTTAAGCAGATTTTAATGCCAGATTTACTAAAAAAAACGTAAGAAAATTCGTTGTAAATTATAGTCAACGAAAAACTACTTGTAAAAAGCATTGAACATATTTCAAGTCATTACATCATAATTTTCAAGCAGATTTATTTGAGTTTTAAAGAAAAATAAATATGAAGAGTACGAGAAATTAATATTGAATACAAATATAATTTTATGAAGCTACGTTTGAAATTTTTATTAATTTCCTCTTGAAGAATTACGAGTTTTCTAGAATTAATTTCTTTCCAAATTGCGATGTGTTTATAACGTTACATAACTTTATTGTCTATTGTTGATCAGTTATAATGCATTTAAATACCAAATTTTAAGAAATGCATCGCAAATTGGACCCCATTTTTTCAAAGGGCTACACGCCTAATTCAAACCTTTATTTTCTCTCAACTATTCATGGCCTAGACACACCAGTGACGTAATGCACGATCAAGTCATAATTCACAAATATTTTTTTTCCGATTTTAATTTCTGTAAATATATAACTAAAATATTTTCTCTTCAATGTTATATACCTTTCTCTGTATATTCTTCCATCTACATAAGTGACACAGAAGTGCGAGTAGACATTCAGCGAAACGCGTTGTTTATAGCTTTTCCCCTTTGTCTCAGATATTTCATTACTTTTATTTCGGATACTATTATAAATCCTACAAACACACATAAGTGCTACAAGAACGCTGGAATAGTAATACAGTATTAGGCTAGTACGATATAACTATCTCCACAAACCATCCCGATAAAAAAAATTCCCGACGTGGTAAGCATTTTATCTAACTGCAAGTTTATCTAATATTGGTTGACTTCGATTATTTTGACGACATTTTGACATGTGTAATGAGATTTCTACCGCTTTGTATATGCTAGTCTAGCAAGAGTTTTTTTTATCTGACCGCTCCAGCCTAGATTTGTTTGCAAAGTTGACCTTATTTAATGATTTATATTATTCTAAATATACACACACAGCATTTATTATAAGCACCAGTCCTCTGTAAACAGAAAATAGTATCGTCCAAATTAAGTCCTTTTTTTTTAATATCATATGCATTCAAGACATAGGCGATAGTGACAAAACATATGCCGTTTCTTTATTATCGATGATTTACTATATACTCTTAAGAAATATAGAGAAGTGCCTTCTTTAAGATTTTGTCACTTTTTTTTTTAATTCAAAGTTGTCTTTTTCCTTGACTGGCTGTCACCCAAAGCTGGAGAGCCTAGTCAGGTAAGGGTTGTGATTGCGGTGAAGAAGAGATGAGTTTATGCTTTTCAAAAGATTTGTTGCAAAACTCTAGTGAGAAAGCCCTTCGGAGTATATTTTTTATAGTCAACTCATATTTAAAAAATCAGTCTTCGCTTGAGATTTGCCAATGCTCTCTTTGTCTTCTTGCTCCGTTTCAGATTTGCCACTCAAGCGGTCATTACTGTAGTAAACCTCAATGCATCAAACGAACTGTAATTAACTTCCACTTTTTCATTATTTGATAGTGATTGCACCTGCGAGCGCCAGAATAATTCTACATTCTCACCAGAGTCTCGTCTTCTTCTTATTTACCTTATAACATTTATTATGGATGGCATTTAGCCCCGTGAAAATTGTTTTATTATTTGGTATGACCTTTGAAAGAAAGAAAATAATGTCCTTCACTGAGATAAATTCATCCTATCCCGAGAGAACGCATCTTCGTACTTCTAAATCAAGACATAGTAAGAGGTTGGAGGCATTACTCCGCAGACTAATAAGTTTGTGTTAGCAGTATCTCTGATAACACAAAAAATAGCTGAGATAAGGAATATTATTATCTACTCGCCAATAGACAATTCCTCCATTATTCTGGAGAAAGAAATGATTACCAGATCGTCTACCTCAAATTGTCGCAGCTGTTAATTGATGAGATCATGGCAGACAGTAACCTCCATTGTTCCTGTGTCGTTTGCAGCGGGTTGCAGATGACCCCAATAGCCATGACCATTGTACGTTACATATTTTTCCAACTCCACCCGACAGAATTCCACACGATTTTAGCCAGAGTTGGAGAGTAAACTTGGCGAGGATCGCGGATAACTTCGCAGATTTAATGTCGACACAAACCCGTTCCATATAAAGCGTCTGTAATTCTAAGCCGCGAACATTGGCTAAAACATTGTAAATGCAGGAAAGGTTGGAAAAAAACGAGTCGAAGAGTTGTGTAGTAGGCTGGAGAAACTTTCTTTTGTCCGTTTTGTTCGTAGGGTTCATTCCTGCTTAATGGATGAAAAAATATGGTAACAAGGTCCGTTCATATAAACAGCTCTGTATTTTTGAGAAGACCCAGAAATCATAAACTGGCCACTGTCTGTCGGTTTTTATATATACGTGACCGCTTTGTAGACAGTTATCTTGTAGCAAGTAACTTCCTATTGCTGAGGCAAAAATGAGTGAAAGGGTCTTGTAAATATACACTTCAGGTGATGAACAAATTTCTGATAGAGGCTAAATGGACAGAATTAATTGTCCCTGAATTTAAGATTACGCCAATTACTTTATAATTGCATATGTGGATGCACCATGTCGGGTGATGATATTTTGCGCAAGTATGACATTGTAATTGATCTACACATACGTTGCCTAGTGAACACTGAGATATATTAAGTTACCGGGTCATATTTCTGATACCGTCCCATGAGGTTCTATTGCTCCGCAAGAAAACGGTGCCCTATAGCTTTACACAGCATATTACTAACAATGCTTCCCCAATTTCCATCTCCCACGGCGGCTAGATAAACTGTTAGTGGCTAAAGCTGAATTTAGCCAAATGATAGAGCTTAGCATTATAAAACCTTTAGAAAGCTTGCCCGTTGAGTCTCGTCTCCAAAAGCAGTGACACATAGCAATGCTTGTGGCGATTCCCGGGCCCTCAACTCAGTTAAAATGTCGGATATGTCCCCCAATATACCATATCCACAACATCACAGAAATCGACCCTTTTCCTTAAATTAGATTTCATTAGAACCTATCGTCAGATTCAGGTAGAGAGACATGGCAGTGATATTACATTTCCATTTGGTTTTCTTGAATTTTTTTCATTTCAACTATTGAATGCAGTAGACTCCTTCTAGGTGTCCACTGGTCATGTGCTGTACGATTTACATTTTACTTCCGCTTATGTGGATAATGTTCTTATAGTCATTTCTTCCATTGAAGAATATAACCAGAAAGTGCGCTTCTTTTTTTTGAGCGTTTCCAAAAATTTGGAATTATTCAATCAATTATGCACCATGCGTGATACACGCTTAGGCGATCATGTACCTTTCGATACATGATTGACGGGACAAATTTTTCCCGCAGTAGGTTGCCATTTCTTTCTGTGGTAGACCAGTTGCCATCCAAGGCTATAGAACCCGTTATTTACCCATAACTGGGGGGAGAAGAAGAGGATTCATACCTTTCCCAAGGTGAAGTGAATGTAATGGATTTGGCTGGAATTCGAACTCTTCGATTCCTCAATCCGAGCCACTATCCATTACTCCACCGTGAAATTATTATGAACCTAATTGAATATATTTCGTAAATTCCACTACAATTACTTCAGATGGTATTTCTTCTTCCTGCTTTGAAGCTGATAGTTGCTATCTCTAAGTTTTCTATACCTAACACCATAAGAAAGTTATGCCAATTCTTTATGATTCATTTCTATCACAAATGTATCCCTGTGCTAGGGTATTAAAAACTTTGACAGACATTTTAACAAATGTAAAAATTACAACAAATTTTGTTTGACCCTGCTCTAGCAGCTTCTCACAAAATTAAATATATTTTGTCATATGTTAAGTTAGTAAAAGATTTGTTCATGTCGGCTGATTATTCTTCTGGTCGGTTTTGTGTTTTTCAATAAAAGATCGATTAAGTAAAAGTTAATTTCTTTCTGTTCTAGAAAAACAATGTAAACAGTATGCTATATTCAAATTTTTTGATTTCCTCTAAAGAATAAGTCTTACTTAGTCATTTGTAAACGTTGCATCAGCCGGTACCATGGCGAAACGCCAAAAACTTGATTACTCTGTGAGCCAAGCTATTGTGAAGCTACACAAGGAAAAGCACACCATTAGAGAGATTTCAGAGAAAGTGAAACGTTCCAAGAGTGTTGTAGGCAGGGTTGTTAAATCCTACAATGATACTGGCAAAATAGTTAGTGCTTTTAAAACCGGCAGACCCCGCAAAACCTCGGCAAGAGAAGATCGAATAATGCAGCGTATGTCATTAAAGGACCGTTTTAAGTCTTGCACAGAAATTAAAAGGGTTATGAATAGTACCCCATGTGTTAATGTTTCAAGACAGACTGTTTGTAGACGACTGCATGAAATAGGGCTGTTTAATCGAACCCCAGGGAAGAAACCACTTGTTAGTTCGAAGAATAAGAAGAAGAGATTAGAGTTTGCAAACAGGTATGTCATTTGGACATATGAAAATTGGGCAAAAGTATTTTTCAGTGATGAAAGCAAGTTTAATTTATTTGGAAATGATGGAAAAACAATGTAAAGAGACGTATTGGTGAAAGTTAAGTGCAAAGTGTACTAAGAAAACTGTCAAGTTTGGGGGCGGAAGCGTCATGGTATTTGGAATGTTTTCTAGCCAAGGTACAACGCCTCTTGTCCGGTTACAAACTCGTGTAAACGCGCAGATCTATAAA